ATATATATAGATAAGTAGTATTTAAAAAAAATATTTAACTAAGAGCCTACAAAAATTTATAATCAATTAAAAATATAATAAAATATATTAAATTATATTTAAAATGATATTTTAATATAAATAATAACATTTAAATCTCGCCCAAGCCCTTAACAACATACGATTGCGTGATTAGGGTTGTCAAAATAACACTTTGATCGCGAAGAGGTCGTGTTCGACTCGTTTGCTAGCCGAACACGAAAACTTTTTTTTGTTCGAAATATAAACGAGTCAAACACGAATAGTAATATTTTTTAACAAGTAGAACACGAGCTGAGCCTAAGGTTGCTCGTGTTCGGCTCATTTAAAACCCTACTTAGGAAGGGTTGCTGTTAGGTATGACTCATATCTAGGGAGTTGGAGTTTCTTGGTGAAGAAGTGTGTCTCCTGGTGAAAAGGAGTGTCTCTTAGAATAAAGGAGGTTGGGAGGAGCGAGGGCGTGATTGTAATTTTATTTGAGGGTTTGTATATGTCTATATATATGTGTAACCCTATGAGATGTATTGTAACTCTCTCTAAAATAGTGAAATCGCCGCTCGCTCCCGAGGACGTAGACAATTCTTTATCGAACCTCGTTAAATCTCTGTGTTCTTCTTCTAGTTTGTGTCGATTCCTGTGTTTTATTCCGCTTTAATTACACAACAGTTGCCCTCCCTCAAATTTAGAATTTTACATATATATAAGAGAGCAATGTCTTCTTTTCCCCCACTTGAAATATTAGCTTTATCAATCCAAAATTATTATTTTATCCTTCGTTGCTCTACCCTAATTCAGAATTATTAGGCTTGGAAAGTGAAAATAATGAGAAAATATTTTGTCCGTCGTCCATACATGCAGATCACACTATATTACATATTTTGGGACATGATATGATCGACGCCACCAACGACAAAACTGAACATAATATTTTCTCAAAAACTATATAGAAATTCAGACGAACGATGAATCCTTATCTGGTTCCGCTCCTATTCAATACAAGCCGGATTTAAAGCAGTTCTGGTCTGCCGACTTCTCTCCATTAACATTCTCAACAGCCCATATTAATTGAACGGCTCCATCAGCCTAACCGATTATTAAACTCTAATGTGATGGGGCTGGTCCAATGCTTTCAATATTTCGGTTATTAAAATAATTTGTTAATTTGGTTGGAATTATTGTTGTTTCTTTGTGTAGAGAGATTTTCTTAGTCCGAGCCCGAGTTAAGCGGTGAACCGAGTTCTACCATCTGCATCGTCTAATTCTACATGCCTTGAATAGGTCGATCAAATCGTCTGGTCAATTCGACCACAACTAAACAAGTGAACCTAATTGATCGGTTCTTACTATGCAGAGCAAATCATCAAATGAACGAGTGATCGGGCTGTACCTCCAAATATTTTAGCTATATGTAAATGTATACGCTCCATGATGTATAGATATAAAAATAAAAGAGGGGATGCATGGACTTCTAATTCCTATTTGTTGAGGAATTAGGGCAAAGTAAATGCAAGAATCGATGCAAATCAAGATGAAAGAATACAAGATCCCCTTAGTGTTACAATACATCATATATATATAAAGCACTGACGTAAAAATGTGTAATTACAAAATTACTCATGTACCGTACCTCGGGGGCATTGCCCCCGCACCCCCAACCCACTTAACGAAGACTCCCCCGATTGAACATATGCTTCCGCTCGTGAGCTCCGCTCCACTCCAACATTTGTCCCTTATCTGGTATTAGGTGTTAATCTTGATTATACATTGTATTCCAACCAACATGACACACTTATTATTTAAAGGAAATTTGCGCAAATACCACACAATTTGTATTTATCTACACATCTAATACTCAAAAGTTTGAAATATGTTGATTTCATAAATCTATAGAGAATAAATATATATTTTTTATTTTCGAAAAGATAGTGATGATGATATTCTCAAGGGATAATTATACAAAGAGCTCTCGAAAAATGGCTATTTACATATAGGCACTCATTTTCTTCCACTTTTCAAGTTCTCACTCAAATATTAAAATTAATGATAAAAGCCTCATTATATTTTTCACTTTTACATAATTCTTAATGATTTGATCATGACACACATAAACGTATTACCTATTTTTAATGAGATGATAAGGATCCAATTTTTAGGTATTATATATAAAAATAGAAAAAAATTGTGTGGCATGTATTTAAATGCCCATTTTTTCATAATAAAATTTAATTATAAAAAAACATGCTAAAATTAGTTTTTAGGGTTTAATAAATAAATTATCTTAATTTGACCAAAAAAAAAAAATCTCCAAATATTTATCACTATTTTAGGTTTGAAATAGAACAAAACCAGTCTATATCTGTATCTGAGGGGATATAGAACGGGATGAGCAGAGCTGATAAGCTGAAAAAACAAACAGAACCCTAATTTCGGGGAATGAAGACTGGATTATGGTCCAAACTCTCTCAACGGCCGACGTTGAGAATGAAAAGGAGGTGGATCTGCGCCCCACACAAAAGATTTAGGTTTCTGAGTCTGCAATCTCCCCCATTATGCAGAGGAAAATGTCGCAGCTCCGTCAAGCCGGTGGTCAGGATGAAGCCGGCGCAGCACCTCAGCTGGTGGTGGTGGCGATCGACGGCGATAAGAACAGCCAGCACGCTCTCAAATGGGCGGCCGATCATATCTTATCTAAGAACGAGATATTCATCCTTCTACATGTTCGACGGAAGATCACTTCTATTCCCACTCCATGTACGTTGCGTTCATATATCCATATATTACTTGTGTTTCTGACTTACATCTCCAATTTCCATATATGATTTGTAAACTAACATTGTTATTGTTTAAATTTAATTATGAACTCCACTGTTATCTAGAACTCTGGTGGGGGCATGCACTCCAGTAACACTTTTTTTATAAGAAATATTAAAATATTTTATAAATAGCTCTGTTCTTATAAATTGAATAAACAAAACAGTTAAATGGGCTGTCCATGGGCTTTTGATTAATATGTATTTTTTTGAACGAATATTGTCCTAATTAGGCGGAATATGAGGGAGCCCAAAGCGCGAGGTCAAGCTCAGCTCGTGTTCGGCTCGTTTATACTTCGAGCTCAAAAAGTGTGTTCGTGTTCAACTCATTTGACTCATCTGCTTAGCGAGCCGAACACTAGTTGTTCACGAACAAAGAGTCGTTTTGACAACCCTGATCACGTAGCAATAATATTTTAAGGGTTGGGGCAAGATTTAAAATTATTGTTTATATTAAAACATCATTTGAATCTAATTTAATAATTTTTATTCTATTTTCTTAATTAATACTTTTAATTGATTGTAAATCTTTGTAGTCTTCTAGCCAATTAACTTTTGAAAATATATTACTCATCAATATAAAAATAAATAAATAAATAAATATATATATATATATATATATGTATATAATTGATGAGTAGTATTTAAAGCCAAATGATGCTCGAACTTTTTAAAGAGCCGAACGCGGCTGTCTGAGAAAAATGAGCCTTTTTGACAGTCCTAGTCCAAATTATATTTTAAGTCTTCTATAATCATTTATCAATTATCTTAATCCTTACAAACAATGATTGTGTTGATTTGTTATATGATTATCATGGTAATTGAAAAAATTGACTACATCAAAATTAGGAAAAAAAAAAAATTTAAAACTTATAATGATAAATGAATATTAGCATTTCAAATATATATATACCACATAAAAAAATTAAGTTTTCAAATTTAAAATCTAACTAAAAATGAAGGTAAAAATATATATATATATATTTAAACTAGCCCTTACATGCATAAATAGCTAAAAAAATTTCCATTGTTATTATCTAAATTGATATGAAAATTAAAATACAGTGAATATTTAAATAAAAGATGAAAAATAAATACAAAATTTAAAATAAATTAAAATAAATAAATAAAAAAGTTCAATTGGGGGATTAAAATTGAAATAAAAAAGTAAAAATATAAAAAAGTGAGTCACCTAAGCATTTGGTGACTTGGCGATGGAGGCTTAGTTGCCTAAGCATTGTACAACTAATCTTATTTTTTCATATTTTTTTCTATATTTTTTGGTACTTTAGTATTTAATTATTCTCATTAAAAATAAATATTTTAAATTGATTATTTGGCCTAATGCTTTATTCATGGAATAAAATGAACCATTTTTTATCCGAACTCTCTTCACCGAGAATTTGTAATCTTATCAACCAAAACCCTCAATCTTGATTGATTTCCGGGAGGAAAAAAAATTGGGTCATGATATTCTAATCTAGATTTTATCATTTTATATTTGTTTTAGTCATTCAATATACTTAATTGTTTAATGTTAAGGTTTCTCTTTGAAAACAAGATCCATTCTTAACATTACTAGAATTCAAAAAAAAAAAAAAAAAAAGGAACTGGATAAAATCCATATTAGAGATCACCATTTCTGCTTCTGATGCTTGAATATGTTGCTATTTTGATTATGCATAGCTTTTCCCTTTTGATTTTGCAGCTGGACTCCAGATTCCAATTACTGATGTGGAGGATGATGTTTCCTCTGCTTACATTGAGCAAATTGACCTTCAGACTAAAGAACTACTTCTTCCTTTTCAATGCTTCTGCAGCAGAAGAGGGGTAAATTTTTCAAAAGCTTAAAGTTATGGTTGAGGGCAGAGACTTGATATTTCTAAAATGACATTGTCATTGACTACTTATATGAGATTAAGTTCAATATTCTCATAAAATCTAACAATCTCACTCTTATATAATAGCTCTTCATATTAATCATTGCTTCTGAAACATAAATTTTTTCTTACATTATTAAATATCATGCTTAAAAAGAACTTATCAATGCTTATGGGAGCTATAAACCTCATTAACTACCTCATATTCGCTAAATCTTGTGTTTTATTTTATATCACTTGTTAGAAAGTGTGAATTAAAGGGGGACAAAAATAGAATGAATGCATTTACTAAATGATTAAATCTTTTTCAAGCCAGAAAACTTTAGCCTATGGGTAAGGGTCCATACCAAGCATTTATACAACAACATATCTTTCAGCTATGTGATTCAAAGTTTAGACCCATTAATCCTTCTATTTTTACATGTTAGCCAAATTTATTTGGGTCATAGGCATGCTATACATTGTCCAGTGAAATTAATTCTATTAGTTATTTTTAGGAAGATTTACATGCATACCACTCAACTGTTATGTATTTACACATCTAACACCTAAACTTCAATTTCACATACATAAACCTTAACTTCATGATAGGTGTATTTCATCTTTTAAAAGTTAAAATGATGGTATTTTTTTTTTAAAGAGAAATGAAGGATTTGGCTGGTATAAATGTAAAATGTAAAATTGAAGTGTTAGAAATGTAAATTCATTGGAATTAGGTGGTAATGTAAATGCACCTTTTTTTATTTATTTTATGAAGCAGTTGCTTTCAATTTCTTATTTCGGGATAATAACATACAGAGCACAAGAAACATTGCTATTTATAAGTTAAACACCAAGGTAATTTTTTGAACTATGAAACGGATTTATTTACGCGTGCTGCGATCAAACCAGTGTGAATTTGATAAAAATGACAAACATAGGTTGGGGTTTTATCATGACCTTTGATATTTGAGTGAGAATTTGAAAAATGGATGAAAGTGGGTTCTTGATTTGTAAATAGTAATGTTTTGGGTGCCTTTTCATGTAATCACACATTCTTAAGTTTAAGCTTGTAGTGGATGGCAAACACCTCATGCCTGTTATACTTTTTTGGATTTTAATGAAAACCCCTTATGATAAGTGAATGGTCAATTGTCCCATTTTTATGTGCCATAATGAAAAATATTTGTTTGTCTAAAATACAGTTGCAGTGCAAGGAAGTGATATTGAATGAATCTGTTGTTGCAAAGGCAATTGTCGATTTTGTCACATACCATGCTGTCGATAAGCTAGTTGTGGGCTCATCAAATAGAAATGCATTTACGAGGTAATGAATTTATCAAGCTTAAATCTTATTTTCTAAATCACTTCTTTATTGATTGCTCTATTATGAGTTTTGTTGAATATTTTTTCATAAGTGTCAAAATAGTGCTTTGGTTGTTTACATGGGGTCATGTTAGTCCAGGAGTTTATAAAAGTGCCAAACTCGTCCTCAGGCTCTTTAAATTGGGGCTGCAATTGTCCTTTGTGTAGACTCTTTCAACTAATATTAAAACTTAAAAGTGTATGTGGACTAAATTGACATTTTATATTATGGGACTAAAATGACCGGCTAGAGGAGTCTGTGGACTATGCCAATCCATATAAAAAGAGTTTGTGGATAAAATTGGCACGTTAATAGACTCTGGGACTTGAATGACCCTCTGGTAAGAGTCAGGTGACAATTTTTTACACTTTTTTCTCATTTTTTCATTCAAAGTTAATATATTAAATTGAGTGCTGCTTTTCCTTCCCATCAATCTATCAGGACTTTTAAGAATCTGGATGTCCCAACAGCTGTGTCAAAGGCTGCTCCAGAATTTTGTTCTGTTTATATTATATCGAAAGGGAAGATATCATCGGTTCGTCCTGCTACTCGTCCAAAAAAACAGTTTGTTAACAAGCTTCAAGAGTTGGATGCTTCTGGAAATCCCTTTCAATCTGTTAAAAGTTAGTTAACTTAATCATCGTGCAGATTTTTAGTGAGCTTTACATGTTTCTTATTCTTATAGTTTCATTTTCTCTTGGTTTTCTAATATCGCTGAAATGAACAGGTACACCTGAAGTGGGACAGTACTACGGGCCTTCTGAAAGGTAAGACTTTTATAGAAATAAATCTACTATGATGGACATCAAAAGACTTTCTTCCCTCCATAAAAAAATGGAAAAAAAAAAGAATTTTATCATGAAAGCAAAGCTAGCAATTCCTGGCCCTGATCAGAGAGAACTAATAACTTCCTGCAATATTTGTGGGATGGAGAATGGGGTGAGAAGGAGAGGGCGCTTCATTTACCTTTTGCCACTTCTCCACTCCATACAAAATTTGGTTGAACGTGATAGAAAAGTATCAGACCCATTTGATTCCATGATCTTTTTGAAATTGGGGTTTTGATATACAATTTTCAGGGGCATTTATACACATACCATCAATTCCTCTATATTTACATATCTAACACCTAAATTTTTTTGTTTTACATTTACAGCACTCAAATCGTTATGTAAATACATAGGAATTCAGTGATATGGATGTAAATCGTCCAAAAAAATTCTTAGCTTTCTAACGTTGATATTTCCCCTAACAGTTCCACCTTGTTAACCAGAGGTGGAGCTACCCATGGCACAAGAAATGCGATATACGAGAGGGTTTTTGATAACAGAACTGGCGAAAGGAAGGCCATGGGAAGCCAGCTTGGAGCTCACTTTGATGTACCTGGTTATAGCACAACCTCATGTCCAAGTCCGAGCAGGGCGAGTTTTGACCAAACTGAACATTTATTTTCGCGAGAGATTCTTGATTTTGGTGGACGACAATTGCAACCATCTCCATTTCTCCATGAATACAGTAGTGGAGAACATGAACAAGGATTTGTACTGAATTCTCATGATCATGGAACCTTCTCTAATACCATTGGTTATGGCGGTGGCAATCAGTTTTCAAACGGATTGAGTGGAGGTAATTGGCAAAGTACTGGTGGATCAAATGGGCTCGGTCACATGAATCCGATACCAAAGAGGGAAGTTGGATCTTGGTCACGCCATTCGACAGTAAGCTTGATGTTAACTTTTCTTTCTAAACAGTATTTATTTACTTTTATCATAGAAAATTTGTGCTGTAGTTTACAAGAATCAATTAATGAAATATTGTTTTTAATGTCAATTTAGCTTATGAGAATGAAGTGAAATATGATACGAACCCAGATGAATTTCCACCGCAAATTAGGACAAATAGAATATTTTGCTTCGTTATTACAAAATAACACAACTCAAATACACTCTAATTTCAATTTGATGCTGAGAAAATGAAGTAAAATTGGAAGGAAATTGAGAAAATTCATTTTGACAGGAAAAAAAGTTGACTACTAGTTAATATTATTTGCAGGATGATTTGGAATCTAAGATAAGTAGACTGAAGCTAGAGTTAAAGGACATGGCAATTTCGTATGATGATTCTATTCCAGAGGTACTGCTCCAAAATAAACTTTTTCAGAAACAAATATAAAGATGCATATGTGAATACTCAATAATAGCTTTAATCTCATCAAAATCTACATCTTTCGGCAAATTACATCATTTCTTTGTTTTTACTTACATAATTTAAGCTTTACTTTCTCTAAGAACAATTTGTGGATATATGAGAACCATCATTGGCATGATTACATGACTTATATAACAAATGCAAAATTTATATATATTCATTCATTTATATAGTCAAAACTTCAAAATATTCTGCAGCAAACCTTCTGCAGTTTTCTTTGACCAACTTAAAAACAAACTATTTTTGCAGGCATGCCCTTGGAATACTTCTTTTGGGACTATGAAATCCAAGGTATCCATGAATGTGTTGGAATGAAGAAGCTTTTAGTATATGACAAAGGCTAAAAAAAGAAACTTATGGAAGAAGCTTTACTCTTATTTATCACATTTACTTGGCTTGATACAAACTCAAAAACTCCACCCTTATTTATACTAGTGGCACCTCCTAAATTAATGACAAATATTGTGCCACCACAATTACAATCCAATGCTTACAAATGATTTCACACCTACCACACAATAATTCCACACCTACCACACCTACTACACAATAATTTTATACCTACCACATATTCTAGAATAAGCTTCTAGAAATTAAACTTTATTTAAACAACTAAAATTAAGTTTATATTTCAACACACCCTCTTAAACTTGATTTTGTGACTTCAAGCAAATTTCTCATTTTAATAAAGTGTTTACTCTTGAGTGGCTTGGTAAAAATATCTGCAATTTGGTCTTGAGACTTCACGTACTGCACTTGTATCTCCTTTCTTTCGATGCATTCTCTGATGTAGTGATAACACATATCAATGTGCTTGCTTCTATCCTGGAAAATGGGATTCTTTACTAGCGCGATTGCAGACTTGTTATCAATACAAATCTTAATCGTCTCTTCTTGTGGTAATCTTAACTCCTTTAATAGGTTTCAAAGCCAAATTGCATGACAAACATATGAGGTTGCAGCCACGTACTCTGCTTCGCAAGTAAAAAGAGTGACAATTGGTTGTTTCTTTGACATCCAAGTGAAAACAGTGTCTCCTATGAAGAACATGAACCCTGTAGTGTTTTTCTATCATCTATGTCTCCAGCCCAATCACTGTCGATACATCTTACAAGCTTGAAATTGTTGGATGATGAGTAAAATAAGCCAAAATCAATTGTACATTTGATATAGCACATAATTCTTTTAACGGTCTTCAGGTGTGTGATAGTCAAAGTCTCTATATAACGACTGAAAAATCCAACAACATAAAGAATATTAGGTCTTATGCATGTCAAGTAGCGTAAACTTCCAACCAAACTCTTGAAAAACGTTGGATCAATTCTTTTTCCCTCATCAAACTGTGATAACTTGACTCCACATTCTACAGAGATTTTTATTGGTTGGCTATTCTCGATCTTGAATTTCTTAAATATCTCCCTTGCATAACCTTCTTGAGAGATGAAGATCCCATCTTCCGTTTGCTTGACTTCAATGCCAAGGTAGAATGTCATGAGTCCAATATCTGTCATTTCGAACTCCTTTGTCATCGCTTCTTTGAACTTTTCAAACATGTTTGGATTGCTTCCGATGAAGATCAAGTCATCAACATATAAACAAATAATCAAGATATTTTCATCCTCATTCTTGATGTAAAGAGCATGCTCATAAGGACACTTTATGAAGCCTTTCTCTTGCAGATACTTGTCTATTCGGCTATTCCATGCTCTTGGTGCTTGCTTTAGCCCGTATAGAGCCTTTTTTTGCGTTAGAACCTTGTCTTCTTGCCCTTTGACTTCATATCCTGATGGTTGCTTAATGTAGACTTTTTCTTCAAATATTCCATTCCAGAAGACAGATTTTACATCCATTTGACTTATTCTCCACTTATTTTGAGCTGCCAAAGAGATGATTAGTCTAATAGTTTTTAATCGAGCAAAGGGGCAAATACCTCATCATAATCGATGTCTGCTCTTTGATTGTAGCCTTTTGCCACCAATCTTGCCTTGTTTCTTTCAACTTCTCCTTTGGAATTCTTCTTCGCTTTGTTCACCCACTTCACATCAATTGTCTCATGCCCTTTAGGAAGTGAAGCTAGCTCCCATGTGTCGTTCTTCTCAATTGCCCATCCATTCCAATCCATTCCATCTTTTCACTTCTTGCTTTGTATGACTTCTTGGAAGTCCATGGGTTCACAGTCGGCAAAGAGACAAAAAAGAGTAAGATTATTTTAATTCATAGTTACCTCATAAAGATCTTCTAATCTTTTGAAGCGTGATACTCTTTCACTTGAATTTTCTCTTGAAGTTGATGACAATGAGTTGCTTTGACTACTTATAGTCAATGTTGTTTGTGAAGTAGTAGACTCTTCTCTTGCTTGCTCGATCCATGATTGCTCTACGTCTTCTTCTTGAAAGTATGAGAAAAAGTTGTAGTCCTCAGCATGTAGTCCCCAGTCCCATTTTCCTCCATCAAATATGACATCTCTGCTGATGGTTGTCTTCCCTGTATTTGGATTGTATAACTTGTAGCATTTCGAGTTGTTGTCGTAACCAATGAAAATGAACTTGTCGCTCTTGTCATCCAACTTACTTCTTTTTCTTTTCTCATCGGGTATTTGTACATGAGTTAAGCATCCAAAAACTCGTAGATGAGAGATGTCGGGCTTCCTTTCACTCCATGCTTCTTGTGGTGTCTTTCCCAACACACTTCTTGTTGGTGATTGGTTAGCCAAATAAACAACACATGGAATCGATTCTACCCAAAACTCCTTCAATAATCTCAACTCCTTCGGCAATCCCAAAACTCCTTCGGCAATCTCTTGCTTTTTAACATGTTCCTTGTCATGTTGAGGATGCTTCTATTCTTCCTTTCTGCTACTCCATTTTGTTGGGGGATCTTGGAATAGTTAAAAGTCGACGTATTCCGTTGACTTCACAGAATTCTCGAAATTCTTTTGAACTGAATTGTCTTCCTCGATCAGATCGCTCCTCGATCAGATCGCATAGCCTCTCTTTCTCTACATCTGCTTTAAACTTCTTGAATATTCCAAAAACCTCTGATTTTTGTTTTAAGAAATACACCCTGATTTTTGTTTTAAGAAATACACAGAAATACACCCATGTTTTTCATGAAAAATCATCTATGAAGAGAAGAAAATAGTTGCTCTTACCAAGTGAGTTTGACTTTATTGTACCACAGACATCTGTATGTATGAGCTTAAGAGGCTTTTGGGCTCTTGAACTTGACTCCCTTGGAAAGCTTTTCCTAAAGTGTTTTCCGAGTAAACATCTTTCACATAATTGATCAGGGTGGTTGATGCAAGGTAATCCTCTAACCATCTCTTTCTTTGAAAGCAAATCGAGTCCTCCGAAGTTAAGATGCTCAAATCGAAGATGCCAGAGCCAAGAAACATCTTTATAACAAGTCTTCAGACATTTGACAATATCATTTTGAACGTTGAGTGAGGACATTCTATTTTTAGGCATTGACACCTTAGCAATCAAGTTACCTATATTGTCTTTTAAGAAGAGAGTATTTTCTTTCAAGTGAATATCATATCCTTTCTCAAAGAGTTGCCCTAAACTCAAGATGTTGCTTTTCATATTCGACGCAAAATAAACATTAGAAATAAATTGATGCTTTTCATTTTTCTGCGGATGAGAATGTTACCTTTGCCTTTTACCTCTATCTTGGACTCATCTCGGAAAGACACATTGCCGCTTACTGATTCGTCAAGCTCTACGAACATACTTTGTCTCCCACACATATGGTTGCTTGCACCGATGTCCAGATGTCATGTACTATCTTCACCTCTTTCATTGTCCTTATATGCTAGAAGTAGAGTGCCATCTTCTTCTTTTTTTTCTCCTATGTAGTTGACTCTTTCATTAACTTTGTACTTAGGTGCTCTACATTCTTTCGCATAATGTCCGAACTTGTTACAATTATAACACTTAATTTGAGATTTATCATACCTAGAGTTTAAGCGCCCTTGACCACGTCGTCTTGTAGATCTTTCTCCTTTCTCATAGTTATTGTCGGTGCTAACGTTAGGGTGAGTATATCATGCATGTCAATTCAAAGAAACAAAGATCCATGTTGGCTTCTAATATTGTTGAAGCTTTCATTCTGAGTTGGTTGGAGATTTGTCTTGAGAAGTTGTTCGACAATCTCTTCATTCATCTTCTTCTTTTCTTCATGAGCTTGCAATGAACCCAGAAGTTGCTCTATCGTCATGACTTGTAAGTCTGTTGACCTCACTTTTGGTTGAGGTCTAGAAAACTTCTTAATCTAACGATCGAAGAATCTTTTCCATGATAGCCACATTTTCTAACTTCTCACCATTTCTTTTTAGTTGATTGAAAATGATAATGACTCTAGAAAAGTAATCGAAGACCAACTCGTCTTATTTCATATGTGAAACATCAAATTAACTTTTTAAAGTTTGAAGTCGTAACTTTTTAACCTTCTCTTCTCTCTTATACGAAACCTCGAGCTCCTTCCATGCTAGTTTGGCCGAATTAGCACTTGAGATCTTCTCAAAACCATCCTCATCTAAAGCTTGATAGATGAGGAAGAGAACCTTCTTGTCTCTCTTTCGCAAGTCTCTTAAGCTATCCTTTTGTGTTGTGGATAGAGCTGACTCATCACTTGGCTCATCGTAGCGTTTCTCCACAACCTCCCAAACGTCATGCGCTCCAAGGAGTGCCTTCATCTTGATACTCCAATTGTCGTAGATGCTTTCCTTAAGCATCGGGACTTGGAACGAAACTATGTCACCGTATGCCATTGTTCTGTAATGGAACTTTTAGGCTTTGATACTACTTTGTTGGAATGGAGAAGCTTTTAGGATATGACAAATGCTAAAAAAAAAGACTTATGGAAGAAGCTTCACTCTTATTTATCACCTTTACTTGGCTTGATATAAACTAAAAAACTCCACCCCTATTTATACTAGTGACACCTAAATTAAAGGCTAGGATTGTGCCACCACAATTACAATCCAATTGTTACAAATAATTCCACACCTATCACACATACTACACAATAATTTCATACCTATCACATATTCTAGAATGAGTTTTATTTAAACGACTAAAACCAAATTTATATTTCAACAGAATGAAGAGGTGGCAGTTGCTCCAAAGGCTACCCTTACTAAGCAGAGATCTATACTTCCCTTGCCTGAATCACCAAACGCTTCTAAACTAGACAATGAAGGAAATAATTCTAAGAACGGGAATCACACGTGGCTTCAAGAGATTGCAGAGAAGAGGAGAGAGCTGGAGACAATTCCTTCAGATATTCGTTACAGGAGGTACAGCCCTGAAGAGATTCTGAAAGCAACGGATAACTTCTCAGACTTGCTAAAGATAGGTGAAGGAGGCTATGGACCCGTCTTTAAATCCACCCTTGATCATACACTAGTTGCAATTAAGATTCTGAGATCTGATGTAGCTCAAGGAATTAAGCAATTCCAAAAGGAGGTATGTTGAATCTTAATGTAAAAAATATAATTAAATATGTGGGCTATATATATAATTAAATGTTTGTTACATGTCATTTTAAAATTTAACATTTTTATAGTGATCTAAATAAGCATGATTTCAAGTATAAAACAAAATATGAAATAATTATTCGTAGAAAATTAATTTTATAGTTATATTTATACGGTGAGCTAAAATAAAAATTTGATAAAGGCTATTTTTGGTAAAAATATCTTTTCTGATAAGATGCCTGTTGGGGAAAAACTAAAATTTTTATAAACTCAAAATCACAAAGTATAATTCTTAAATTCACACAAACTCAATTTAGAAGCTCATACAACTTTTCCTTGAGACTTGATTCATAACCCATAAAACTATTTAGTATTTATACAATTTAGAGTAATCAATACCACACATTATTCAGCAATCAAACTAATCTTGATCTTTCATTCTTCACCCACCACACCTACCACACACGCATGCATCACATGTCTCATCTTACATTGACTTTTCACCTTATCAACTTTTCAACAAGTTTAATTATTCAAAAAAAAATTATTTCTAAAATAAAACAAGTATATTTCTAACACTCTCGCTTAAACTTGATTTGTAACTCCAAGAATATTGGGGAACTTAACAAACGTTTCTTGCTTCGGTGCCTTAGTAAATGTCTGCCGCTTGATCTTGAGACATCTGGTACTTCAGCTCTACTTCTTTTCTTGCAACAAATTCTTTTATATAGCAATTAAAAGATTAATACCAAAATCTTCTTCTTCCCATTGATCAAGGTTTGTTTTTGCAATTATTTAATTTAGATAGTAATTTGATATCTTAAGCATATGATCTTCTCTTCTCATTTACTTAATTAGTTTATAACAATACTCATATTTGCGCTCCAATAAGAAGGATCCCAGCTCTTCTTATTTCTAAAAATTTTAATCGAATGATAAAAAAGGTTGATTGCGAACAACACAAATTTACTGCCATTTTCCTGCTAATTTTTCCCACAAAATTCTTAAGGTGGAGGTATTAAGCTGCATCAGACATCCAAATATGGTCCTCCTCCTCGGCGCCTGCCCCGAATATGGCTGCCTGGTGTACGAATTTATGTCAAACGGCAGCCTCGAGGACCGAATTTTCTGCAATTCCGGCACCCCTCCATTATCATGGCAGCTCCGCTTCAAAATCGCAGCCGAGATAGCCACCGGCCTCCTCTTCCTCCACCAGACCAAGCCCGAACCACTGGTCCACCGAGATCTAAAGCCCGGAAACATTCTTCTCGACAACAATTTCGTCAGCAAAATCGCCGATGTTGGCTTGGCTCGCCTCATCCCTCCCTCCATGGCAGGGGCCCACCCCGAATATGACCGCTGCCGCCGGAACATTCTGTTACATTGATCCGGAGTACCAAAAAACTGGCTTGGTGAGCACCAAGTCCGACATTTATGCTCTGGGTGTCATCCTTCTTCAGCTCGTCACCGCGAGGCTGCCCATGGGGCTCACTCATTCTGTTGAAAATGCCATGGAGATGGGAAGGTTTGAGCAGATGTTGGATCCCAAGGTGCTGAATTGGCCGAAGGAACATGCTACGAAGCTTGCCGGAATAGCCCTCCGCTGCACCGAGCTTCGCCGGAAGGATCGCCCGGATCTAGCTACGGTCGTGCTTCCACAACTGAATGAGTTGAGTGCTTTTGCGGAGGGAACTCTTGATCCTGCATGGCATGCTTCACGTTGGAGCTCCAGGAACATAAGAGTAAATACTTCCAATTTTTTCAGGCTTTTTATATAGGGACATTTGCATATATATCCCCCACTTTCTTATCTATTTACCTATCTAACACTTACCTTCTGTAATTTGGCATATAGTGAAAAATTGAAGTTTGTGGTAGATGTATAAATACATAGGAATTGGGGGGTATGTTTGCAAATCTTCCTTTTCTATATCTGCTTGCATTAAGAGAAACTGTTCTTAAATTTCTTTGCAGGAGATGAGGAATTCTGTTTCAGGAATAGAAGAGTTTGATAAAGCTGAGAGAGCAAGGGGCATTTGAGTCATTGAAACATTTGGGGAGGCCATGCTTTTAGTGCACAGATATGTTATTTTTGGGGCATTTACCAACATACCACCATATTCTTTTGTATTTACACATCTAACACCGAAACTCTATTTTTTTATATTTATACTAAAATTTTCTCATCACATCTAAATTACCACCATTCTAACTTTTAAATAGTGAATCCATTTTCATGTATAGATAAAGAGACATATATGTAAAAACTGAAGTTATAGGTGTTAGATATGTAAATGTATAGGAAATAAGTGGTATGAACGTAAATTTTCAGTTTTTTTTTTTTTTTTTTTTTTGGTTAATCTTTCTCCTTATGCTTTATGGAGACTGAATTGTCTGCCTGCTATTGTAACAGTTTGTCTCAGATTGTTATGTCTCTACTCAGATCATTCACCTATGCCATTTTATTTCACAGTGATTGTTTGTTAATTATTGAATTTCAGATTTTGAGAGTGAATCATATTTGGATGGGTTGAAAATAAGATTTGCTTGTTTTGTAAGTGTTCAGTTGTTATAAATTCAATTCTTTTGTGTTTTTTCAATTGCAGCGGGTGGTTGTCAATGGCTGATGGTTGGCGGTGGTAGGTGGTGATGGCGGACAGTGATCAACGGCGGTTGATGGCTACAGAGGCTAGTGTACGGTAGTGGTTGGCGGCGAAGGAGGCCAATGGTTACTCATCGGGTTCTCTCTCCAGAATAGACTTTGAAATTTCACTTCTCTTTCACTTCTTCTCACCATAAGTAAAGAGAAAATAGTCTATTTACAGCTTTTTAGGGAGTGGTATTTTGTTCTTTTGGTGCAGATCTCCCATATCGCCTGGTCAAACGGTCCATATTGATCCTCCTTGATAATATGTTAGTTCTTAAGAATTTGGGTGCCTTAATAACCTTGGAATTTAGCGACCTGAACTTGTTGGATTCCTCTCGTCGAGACCTTTGATTCGGCTATTTAATTGATGATCCAAATCTTCAAATTGTGCTAACAGCTAGGCTTGATTGCACCCGCATTGAACCAATTATAGACTCGCCGGGATTGTCTTGTTGAGACGCTTAGTTCGCTTATACATTTTATGAAATCAGAGCTTGGATGAAAAATACATCGAGATTCCTGCTTAATTGCCAACATTATAACACCAATAATGCACGAGTAGCTTTTTAAGAAAATAAATAAATATTTGATTTTTCTCCCACTAACACTAACCAATTAAAAATAGATTAATCACTGCATAGCTCTTAGAGATCTAAACTGTACCTGTCTTCGCAGGTCAGATAAATTAATATTTGCTGACTTGGATATGATTAGGCTGCCTATCAAGGTTCCATCATTAGCTTGGATATCCAAATAAACTTGATACAACATACATATTCACAAGCAACCTAAAAAAAATATTATTATGAGAAGGGTCCCTATCATCTACCTAGGCTTGGATGCCATATTAGCATTATATTAATGATTTTATGACCCCTTAAACATATAATTAATCAAAGCCAGCTAGCTCTTATTAATCATACTAAGAGTTTAAATTAAATACAAGTTGGCACTCATATAAAAATCAAGCAATAAGATACTAACGTAATTGATGGTTAAAGGCATGACATCCTTGTCTAATAGGTGTTCATAATTATAACTTATAGCTATGAATGATATTATAGCTTTTCATAAGCCCACTATGGCAAGCACCTATTCCTTGAAATAATGTCCTTATTCTTTACTTTATCGATAAAGAAGATTCTAAACAACAAATTTTATATCTATAAGAAGATTTACATATATAAGACCCAATTCTATGTATTTACCTATTTAATATAAAAATTTCAAGTTTTACATATATATCATATTTCCTATGTATGAAAAGATGTATTTCACTCTGTAGAAGTTAAAATATTGATATTTTTTATGTGATAAAAAATTTGGACGGTAAAAATGTAAAAAAATAAAAATCTAGATGTTGGATATGTAAAAACATATATAAGAATTGGTGGAATGTATGTACGTGTATATGTATGTATCTATATATATATATATATATTATATATATATATATATATATAACACAAGAGTGATATAAAAATGGAAGTCAATGACATGCTTAAATAAGTGAGCTTCTCCAAAAACATTGCATGACTATAATACTTTTATATATTCATGAAAATTTATTTCTTTATCATTTTTATGTAATTGTATGCATATTTTTATGATAACTCAGGAAACAATTAATACTTGACATGCATTTTTTGCATGTTTGAGCCATATAGATGAGAGAATGTTGATGTGGAGTTAACTCAAGGTTTTGAATTAATCTCGAGATTAGTAATTTTTAATTGAAGATTTAGAGTATTCTCAATGTTTTTACTCATTAAAATTTTGAAGTGACATAAATTAGCTTATATAAATGGACTTTTATTGTAAGAAGATAAAAAATAATAAAAAAAAAGACTTAGAGATTTCATTTCATATAATTATATGAATTTCTATGATTATAACTTTTTATGTATTTGTGGACCTTTTAATATACTTTTTTGCTTTCTTCAAAGTATAAAATTGACAGATGGTCATAAGTTTTCAGGGCATTAGATTTCATATTTTGATGAAAAGTAATATTACTCGTTTTTAAACTTAATTTTGCAGCTAAATACATAAAAAATTAAATAGTAAGTGTGTAAATTCCCTAAAGATTTTCAAGCCTAATTTCTCACCCCCCTCATAAGACATTTTTATTGAATTAAAAGTGGACTCATGCATCTTTTCACGTGGAAATATATGCTCTTTGATAACTATATGTTATTCTTGAAGCTATCAAATACATCTTCATGCTTTCATGTATCTAATCAAGCAAACTAAATCAAACTAATTTCTAAAAATAAATTTGTAAAAATGATTTACATACATTTAATTTAATTCTTACATATTGACATATCTAACACTCACAAAATTTAATTTTTACAAACATATTTGTCATCTTAATTACCCATACAAGAAAGATATATATGTTTCATTTTTTTAAAATAAGTTTTTGGGTGTTATGAATGATGCTAGATATGTAAATATGTAGGAATTGGATGATATGAATGTAAATTCCTCAATTTATAATTTGTGTTGATAGTTGAATGCGTATTAAATAGATTTATTGTTTAATCCAAGCAATCATGATTTGCTGTGGTTCATCAACATGAAAGAGTTTTGCAGCCAATGACTTTTTACTATTTACAAATTTAGTTTTTAATATTTTAATATAAAAATATATTAATTGCATGAATATGAAAATCTGGTAGCAATTATATAAACTTATAACCCGAAAAACAATACATATATTTGTTAAAAAATATATATAATTTAGGCCAGATCTTGGTAGTTGAAGTGTCCAATTCCCATTACAGACTACTAATCAAGCTTCAAAAGAAGAATTTTTAATTACAGTACCCAAAAGGCCAAAAATTTCCCTAAAATAGCTTGGTAATATTCCTGCTTTTCATAGTTCCGTCACATCACTTCTGTCTCATCCTCATAACTACGCCGCCGTAACTCCGGCGAACCACGGCCGGCCGCCACCGCTGTTGCCGGAGAAGAAAGTGCCCGAGAAATCAGCCCTTCTCAAAACTTCAAAATCCCCTTTTTATTTAGAAACTCATCCGTTACAATCTGTTCGTATCTGCACTCCATGCTGCAAAATGCCTTCTCCCCTCTGCATGCAAAAGTTCAGGCTTATAAGATTCTAGTTTATACTGTAGAGACATGGTTTTCAAATTTTTATTTTTTATAAACTTTTAAATTCTAATTTCATTTTAGCAGATCAAAGAATTTATTGAAATACACGATAAACTAGTGATGAATAATCCAAACTTGCACCCAAAAAAAAAAAAAAAACAAATTTTGCAGTGATTGGTAGCACCCTATTAATTGGATTTACTCGTGAATTTAACCTAAATCCAAAAATCAAATTTTGAATAATTTGGTAAATTCATATGTATCAGATTTGATATATTTCATTCAACATAAATCAAAGTTGCAGCCAAAAAAGAAAGTGAACAATTACCTGTACATATAGATATCTTTCCCCTGCAATTTTTTCCTGCACAGATAGCAGCAACTAAGGAAATCAGCCGCCGGAAATTCTCCGCCGGCGGCCACCGACCGTTTTCCATGGCAGTCCACCTCCGAGCCGACAAAGAGCATCCGCCGCCGCTCTCCGGCGAAAGTTTCGAGCTTTGGGACTATACTAAGCCCGACGCCGTCCGAATCTCTCTTCTTCCATCCTTTAGGGGAGAGGGGATTTCGTTCCAGTGGGCTCGCCGGACTACGTAAGGGGGAGCGGTGGCCGGCAGAGATCGGGTTGGGGAGTTTGTGGGCGGACCGCCGGGCCAACATTGCCGGAGTTGGGAGTCAGTAGTTGGGATATAGGAGGAGGAGGAGGAGGAGGAGGAGGAGGTTGGGGGGTATTATGGCCTCTCTGAGATGCTTTTATGGCTGGTTTCTTAGGAATTATATTAATTTTTTTATTTTTTATTTTTCAAAATTGTTCTAATTATTTTTTGCTTTTTAATAATAATTATTATTTTATTTTTGAAATTTAGAAGGATAATGCCAGGCAGCCCTTCGATAAGCTTAAAAAAATGATAAATTAGCATGAGATGAGTGCATTTGTCATTCATAGCAAGAGTTATTAATTAAATAAAATTTAAAAAATTATTTACATATATATATCATACAATTTTTATGTATTATATAACTAACATTTAAATATTTATATTTACATGTATAATATTAAAATCCATGACATCACATAAAAAATATTGTTATCACCATCTTTTTAATGCTTTATTATTTTTGGGATTTTTTTTTAAAAGTGAAATATGCATTTTAATGTGTAGATTTATGACACAAATATATTTTAAATCTAAAATATCAAACTTTGGACATTAGATATATATGTAAATACATAAGAATTGTGTGATATGTATATAGATTTCCCTTAAGAAAATTATTATGATACATAATTCAAATTATTTAAATTTATGACCAATTGATTTTTTAGTCTAAAAAAGTGAATTTCTTCACAAAACTCTTTCTTAAATTTTTTTTTTATTTTTACTAAAATGAATGCTAAAATTACTTTTTTTTTTTATCAAGTTCATGTAAGGAATTCCTAAATTAACTAATTCAGTGGATTAGTAGCTTGTAGATAGAGCATATATCTTTAAAATGTACACATTTTTAAATCACATTGTAGTAGTTTACATATAGAAATAATTACTGAGTTTTAGCTCTTATCTAGTTCAAATTGCATACAATGACTTAGAGGTAGAATTTGCAAAGTATCTCAAAATCTTGAAAATACAACACATAGACTGATGTAAGAAAAAATTGAATAAATCAAATGCGAAATCCACTAAATATTTTACTTATAAGAAATATAATATTTGGAGACACCCTAGAACAGGGAAGAAATTATCAAAAGTATAACCCAGAGAGAAAAAAAGAATGAGATTTAAGAAAGTTATTTTGTAAAAAAAATAGAGAAGTCCCTAAGGATGAGTTTATTGGGAAAGGGAATAGTTCCCACATAGAGATCTCGAAAGCTATGAAAGGGGCTCTTCTTTGGATCCCTTATTTATAGGAAAATTTAGGGTTGTTAGCGATACACTAAAAGCTACAAAATAAGCAATACATCAATAAAATATGTAGTTGAAGATGTGAAGCCTAAATGCAATTTTGGACGTAGACTGTGGCAAGTAGCAAACCATGTAGATACTTAGAACTCGTCAGGCGACAATCAATACTTGATGTTCGTTACTTAGGACTCAATACTTCTCTTGGCGGTTGGTACCCATCACTTGGCAGACAGTACTCGATCCTTGTCTCTCTAAACTCAGCACTTATGTTGTCATTCTATGATTGCTACTCCTTTAGGGCGAGTTTCTCCCCAATAGTGTATGCTTAGTTGTATCTTTTGAAGCGCCTACAATGACAAAAATATAATATTTAAAATAATTAATTCATTGCTTACATAGTAGCAAGAAATATACTTTCTTCGTTTACGTGGGATGAATTTGAGTCTATGTTGTCAACATAACTCTGCAATTGGCCTTAATGAGGCTAGTTAAAACAATATATGTTCAGAATTTACCCCTTGAAAAAAGTTTGTGTTATTTGTGCAAAACACAAAAAAAAAAATTTATTTGACTTTTATTATCTTTTATTTTTAAAAACTATTAAGTTAAGTATTATAAGTGTCAAGTCAATCTCAAATGTTGACTTCCTGATCTTATTAAGTACTTGTGGTGTAATTCATATATGTCGAGTGGCAAATACACCTGACAAATAAGAGAAAAGCATAGTTGAATATAGAATGCAATAGGGTGAATAGTGAATATTGAGCTAAAAAGCTATGGGAGAAGAGCCAAATACTAAAATGTCATAGGTGAATGGTGAATTTCAATGTCAAATATGCAAATTGCAGGATTCCAAATATTATCAGGGAAATGGTGAATAGGAATGTTGAATATTTAATTCTCTAATACAAAATTTAATGAACAAAATGAGGCATGCCAATGTCAAATAACAAGTTGTTGAATGTACCAAATGTCATGGGCAAAATGTTGAATACCAATTTTGGGTGGATATATTGATGAATGCTAAAAATCATATGCAAAATGATGAGTACCATTGATAAAAACCAAAATGATAAATATTATGTTTTGGGTTGACTTGTTCAGTCCATTAAGCTCACTTGTTAGTGTTATATTTCATGTTAACCATACATGTTTAACTCATAAACTATTCCCTTATTGCTTGCTCACTTTAAAAAAACATAGTCTCTTTTAATGAGCCGTTTCTAAATGAGATCTTGATCTTCATAGAAGGTCAACATTTAGATTTTCTAGAGATCAGTGGACTTGTGCAATACTCATGGCTGATTTTGGCATTAAGGGGGGAGTCAAACTGTGGGTTGGGATCCATCTTAGTAGGGCAAAGTGGGGGTAACAACTTTGTTGCATAAAGTTTGATATCGAGTAATTAAGAAAAACATTGTATATCATCACGTACGATATTTGTGACAAAAAAATTGTATTCTTTCTATATTAAAAAAAATAAATCTATTTATTTTATCATTGTTTTCTTTGTGTGATTGTTTATTTGGCAATGTATGTGTTAATGAAGTTGCCGATAAAGTTCTAAATGCTGCAAAATTTTTCTTCCACTTTCAATGAGCTTGGCTACGAGGGATGATTTCCCCGAGTTGCAGATTTGATGAGTTCCTCTAGTTACAAATGGGACGAGTTTCCTAAGTGCCATGAGTCAACTCAATCTATGGGGTAAGTGGTGATTACAATATGATATTTTTTATTTGTTCTCTTTTTTAAATATTTATTACATGAAGCTAATTAATAATAATAATAAAATAAAATGAAAAGAAGAAGTTATATTACGAAATAGTTTCCATGACTTGATCAGTGGATTTCTTGTTCTATATGAGTTTCAGGTCTGTCGGGCTAGCCGACCAACTCTGATAATCACTATAGAAAAAAATGATTTTTTTGTCGGCTAATTTTCGTTGGTTATGATGGGAAAAACTGTCGCTTTTGATATTTTTGACTGTTTACTAACAATTTTTGACTCGTAGGTAAAACACTTGTCGATAATTCCAGAACAAACTGATATTCTAATGGTGTAAAATTGTCGACACATAATCGACACTTTAAGGTTTGTTTGGCGCAGCTTAAAACTGTGTTTGGTGTTTTGAAAATGTCGACATGGCGTTTGATTCTCATGTTCGTTCGACATATTTGGAAACACAGTTTTACGTTTATATTAGACACGAGCCGCGGGATCGACCCAATGACCCGTGTCTTTCCATTTGCGTTCGAGGTCAATTCCTCCCGTGCGCCTCTCCAATACCCGGCTGCATTAGAGGATTGGCGCAGGATCCCGATCTCCCTCTCCTCTTGCTCTCCCAGTTTCACCGAAGCCATCACCATCATGACCGAACCCATGTGATACATTCACTATGTAAGTGAAGCGAGAAGGCAATAGCGGGATCACGAATACAGAGACCCGAAACTCCCTTCCTCCTTCTGTTTGCTCTTACCCACAACTAGTGAGGAAGGTAACCTTCAACTTTCTCATCTTCCTCCCACCTCTCTCGATCGACTTGTTCGCTCGCAGAACACTGCAAAGCAGACGAAGGATCAATTGGCTCGATTACCAAACTAGGCGAAGCTTTGTCTTCTCATAATGATCACAGAGGATCAATCGGCTCCATCATCAAAGCAGGCGAAGCATTGTCTTCTCCCAACTAACGCAGAGGAATGATTGGTTTGATCGCCAAAGCAGAAGAAGATTCATCTTCTCGCAACGATCGCAAACAAAGCTTTGTTTTCGGTGGCAAAACCCCTTTGTGGGAAGTAATCCTCAATTGCTTTTATATTTTAGAGTAAATAAAAAAAGTTATTTGGATTGATTTCAGACTATGCCTTAGTTGGTTTTTTATTTTAGTGCAATTAATGATCATGATTCGCCTGATTGGTTTACCATTGTTGTGTACACTTATTTGGGTTCATGTGCTACTAACATAAGCTATGAAGAATTTGCATGGGTTCTGCTATACCCTGCCTAAGCAGTAATATGATTCATTAGGAGTTAGCCTAGGTTTGAATTCATAACTAAGCATTTTGTACCTCTCAATTTTTACCTAGCTGGGAATACATGGACTTCTATCAATTCTGCTCATCCATATATATATTCATACATGTTTCTACAAGCACATGCTCGTGCACACCTGGGAATACATGATGGGAATACATGGACTTCTATCAATTCTGCTCATCCATATATATATTCATACATGTTTCTACAAGCACATGCTCGTGCACACACACACACACACACACACACACAACAGTCCAATATAAGTTGCATTGCTTATAGTTATAACTATTTTTATTTTCTTCTGTCGGGTGAGGAGTTCATTATGTTGTTTACTGTTAAATAAGAGCTGTCTCTCACTTTTTTTTTTATAATGGTTTTCTACTTCTCAAGTATCAAATATATTACTATGACAGTTCTGATTTTCAAATGCACAAACCAAACAACCAGTTAACTATTTCAGATCAGTTGCTGATCAACAGTTTATCTGAATAAGCTGGATAAGTTGCAGCTGCCCCAAACAGACACTTAATATAGTCATTTTTTTAAAGAAAATTAATATTTTTCAGTGTTCATCAGTTCATATAATTAACAGAGGAACCAACTGCATTAGCGATGATAAAATTGTTAGAAAAGTGTCACACCTTTCAATTTTGTGTAATGCAGCATTTCATCGTTATTTTGTCGGTAAGACATCGATAATTAAAGCCAAAGGTTAAACTATCAGAAAAGTGTCTCACCTAGACTGTTTCTTGTAACACACTTAAGTTGTCGGTTAGGTGTTGGT